ACTCATTCATTTCTCAACCTAAAATCATGAAATTTGGCAAGAATGATCTCAACACATTCGTAGACATGTCATAAAAATGTCATAATTTTATCATGCATATATCTCAACTTATTTTCGTTCAAAGTTACTGCTGGAAACATGCACATAAAATTCAGCTTGCCTGATAAACTTTTAAAAATTTATAACTCGAGCTATACTTAACCAAAAGACATGATTCTTGCTCCTATGTACTCATCATTTACAAAACAAATAGCCATAATAATTTTAATATACCAGGTTATACATAGCATGCTTAATTCGAAATCAAACAACACATAACAATCATGCATACGATCTAACATAACTTCTTACTTCATGACATGATTATAAATACTTAAAGGCTGGAACTTTAACACATTCTAACATATATAAAGGCACTTTAAATTATCTATAAATCATGCTAAAAGAATGACTTATTACCTTCTTCTTCTTGCTTGAAAATAAAATTTGCACTCGAAAATTGATTCTTCACCTCTCCAAAATTCCCACAACTTATTTCTCTCTAATGAGTTATATTACTCTTGAAATGTTTCTTTGATGAAAATAATCTGATTTAAGGCCTCTATTTATAGCCACAAAAGAGGGGACAAGATGATTGAGTGAAGAAATAAACAAAAATAAACAAACATAACTTATGAAAATTAATAAAGATAAAAAATGAAATCATAACTTGTAAACTTCCCTAATGTATAGTCAATGCTTAAAAATACCCCACAATGTGATCCTCATATGATTGGCATTATATAATTCGTGAAATAAGGAAAAATCTAGAATTTACGGAACCGAATTCTGATTTAAAATGAACAGTTACCGTAAAATCGAAATTTCTGACAATTTCAGATTTCCTTCTTTTTCTTTTGGCATTTTTCCTTTTAATGTTAAAAAACTTTTCTTATCTTGTAGTCTACTAAAAATATAGAAAAGAAATAATTTAATTTATTTTCCGGAAGTGAAATCGGACTTAAATTCCGACTACAATCGAAAACCGAAAACCCGAAAATTATAAAACCTTCATATTTCTCTCTTAATAATTTAAATAGACTAAAATGTCTAAATAAATTATTTTACTCAAATGATTAATTTAGACACTCATGTCAAATTAATCATAAAACTTATAAGACTACTCGAAATAATTAATCCCTACTAATAAAAACCATTTCTAAAAGTAAACGAACCGGAACTAATGAATGAACTGGCTCGATTACTAAATAAAATTTAACCGAGAATACTTTAAACTTAAAGTCAAACTTATAACTTATAACTTAATAACTGATTGGAATATAACATAATATATCGAGCAAGTAGGCACGGCCCGGGGTGCGCTACGTGCGCAACCACATCACCCTTGGCCGTAACATCGCTACCATGACTTATCATCCGAACAATTAAGCTACTATAGACATGATATAGCAAATAAGGGCTAAACATGCAAGAATGGATCGGGGAAAATAACTTATAACATGACATGGTGGCATGGCTACGGCTAACACACATGACACGCGTGCATGCTACTAACGGGAAAATCGAACTAAATAAACATGATAGGCTCGGTCAACAACCGTCGGGAACTTACCTCTTATAAAGCTCAAGAGACTAATCTACTCAAACTCCCGCTCTCGGTCGTGCCCCTCCGCGTGCGTGCGGTAGCGTGCGGTGCGGCATAGCGTGCGATGGTTCGTGGCTTGCGCGATGGCTCTCGGCGGTAGAACACGAACACACTCCAAACCTCACTAACTCTCTCTATGTTCGGACTTGGAGGAGAAAAATGGAGCAAGGTCTCCAACTTAACTAAACTTAAATAAAACCGAAAGGCATGGCGGAGAGAATGAGGTAATGGAGTGAGAACTTTAGCTAATGACACATGACATACATGCACTAATGCTAGGACAACCTCCCATATATTCGCTCGGCATGATGGAGAAAATTTGAGGACAAAATCTCACTATGCCACGTGAATGATGCCAACAACATGAGGGAGAATAGATGCTTGAACAAAATGCCACAACATGCACGGCATTTAAGGACCAAATGGAGTGAATCTTGGAACAAATGCACTAACAACAAGACAATGGGGGGGCACGGCTACTTAGGCTAGGAAGAAGGAATCTTGGACAATTTCTCTAGCATAAAGACAATGAAGGCACGGCTTCTTAGGGCAAGAGAAAAGCATCTTGGACCTAAAATACAATCACTCACACATCACACGGTATTAACACATGAATTGAGTAGTGCACGACAATTTGCTACTAATTAGGTGATTAATTACCATTAATCACAAATTAAGGCTTAATCAATTAATTAAGCATAATACTAAATTACCAAAATTATTTCGAACGTAAACGGTACGTCGAAAATAATTTTTGGTAATTTCGACTGAAATAACTGAAAATAATTAATTCCGAAAAATAATATCGGAACTAAAAATATAATTTATACTGATAAATAGTCGGGATATTACACCGCATGCCCCTGCTTAGAGACGTGCGGCCAACTGCATTGGCCGACCGTTGACTCGCACGAGAGCTGCAGCCGCCATCACCGAACGCACGAACTCCCCAGGTTAGTGTGTACGGCCAAACCTTGACCTTGTAGTTGGTATCTGAGTGGGTACATGCATGTGTCCCAGCGCCCCGCATATGCAGCGCCAGCGTGTGTGTCACCTCTTGGGTGACAGTGTATTAAACTTAGTCCGACCTTGTCCTTTTAGGGGTCTTTGAACCAGATTTTTGGTCAGAGTGTATGTTGATCTTTCGAGTCGTTGTGTGAATTCCCTAATCAACCACCCTCGATGTGTGAGCTTGGTCGATTAGTTTCCTTTGCCACATGCGAGATTTTATCGACATGGCGAGATAGTAGTTCCGTATAAATGTGGGGCGGAGCCTTGAGTTTCGACTGGAGACTGACTCCGTGGAAGAAAATCGTTATTGAGTATCTAGCCTTTACTTCCTAAACCGCATACGAGATGTTGTTCGTATCAGCGAGGAGAGAGGCTTTGTCAATGGTATCAAACAGAACGTGTGTTCTGAATGTACCAGATTTGAGAATAAGTGATGATTGCCGGTCCTAACATGATTTCTCGACCAAGTCAATAGCTTAGCCTAATGGTTGACTCCACCACCTAGACTTGCGAGGTTGCATGACACGTTCTAGCCTCGTGATGGGGGGAATGTGTGCGTGATCTCGAGGTATGTGTGAATTGTGACGAGCTGCGTGATAGGCAGAACCCTACCTGTATGGAGGTACCGGTGACCTGTTGGGACCGAGGTTCCATCAGGGAAAGACCGGGAGGGATACTCGTCAAAGTCCAGTGAGTGTAGTCAAGTCGAGGGCTAGACGATTTGGCAAAGAGAGACCGAGATTCGGAGGGAGTACCCGAACCTCACATTGTGATGTCCCCTCTTGTACTCTTTTACCTTTTAGTTGTTTGTTTTCGAATTCCGGGGACGGAATTCTTTGTAAGGTGGGTAGACTGTAACGCCCCATTTATTGGCGAATTATTTGGAATTATTTATTATATGTATTATTGCATATTTATTTTTGTTATTATTGATTGTCTAAATATTATTAATTGCTTAAATGCCTAATTGTTGTTGTTGTTCCTGTTGTTATTATTATTATTATTATTATTATTATTATTATTATTATTATTATTATTATTATTATTATTATTAAATGTCTAATTGTTTAAATGCTTATTAATATTATTAAATAATTATTGTGTGTAATATTAATATATATATATATATATATATATATATATATATATATATATTCGTAGCCAGTTTATTTTATTTAATTATTCTGAACGTCGTGCGATTAACCGAGCTTTTATTAAATTGTCGAGCCTTGGAGTAACCGACCCGAATGTTACTCATTTCGTCTAGAATCGATTCTATTCCCAGCCATGTATATTGAATTTTCTTTTAGGCCCGATTTCATGTGCATTATCCAAGCCATTTTTTAGAGTTTAGTATTGGCCCATTTGGACGCTTAAAACCGGCCCAATTAATTGGGAGTATTTTTTGCCCTTGTTATGTTAATTCTTTAGCCTTCTTGCAAATATTACTTCAGCCCGAATTGAATTATTTTTGACCCACTATAGTTGACTATTTTCGGCCCAAATCGAAACCTTTTTCCAGGCCAGAAAGTTGTGTGCATCTCGGCCCACTAAAAATTCTTTTCTCGCCCAAATAACTGATGAAAAGGAAACCTTCACTCTCTTCTCTTAAGTTTATCGCGCAGACATTCGATCCCTCCATCCCTCTCTCGCATCCTTCCCCGTCGCTCACAGAGATAAGAACTCTTGCTCTCTCTCCCTCTCGTCCTTAAGCTTCGTTCTCTCGCGCCATCAATAATCTTCTCTCTCTCGTGTTTTTGCAAAGTCTGCTCCTCCCTCTCGCTAATCCCACCATCATTGTTGTTCACTCACGAGGAGCCTGAGACCACAAACCTGCAACTCCTGATGATCAGTAACTGAGCCTTCATCACCGTAGCAGGTCCACACGATCGAGAGTACCGCGACCATGACCAGTTAACACCCCGACGGAGCTGCAACCTCTTCGACCCTCGCGAGCCTGATCCCGTGACCTTGTCTCAGCGAATCCTTTTCGCAGCAGGCCCGTCTTCCCTGCCGCCAATTCCGGCGAGACTCTGATCGTTGGTGACTATCGCACAGCAGCAACCCCCCCACCCCTCACGGCAACAACAATGCTTCGACCGACGACCAATTATACCTGTTAAGCAACGAACATACGTGAGTGGCCCTTTTTCTTTTGCCATGAACAACCCCGCACATACAGGTTTCGGCAAGTTCCGAACCAGTCCGACAAGCTCTTCTCTGCCATGCAGAAGCAATTCCGGCGACCCTTCTCCATGTTCGAGGTCATCCGCTACTCGTCATCGTCGGAGAGCCCACGACCGTAGGCCTGTCACCTTGCTGCAGCCTCTTGTCAAGCGTGCAGTCTGGAGCCGTTCCCAACGAGAAACAGCCGCCAACTCCTCAGCCCGCGACACGCTCGCCGTTCGCTGCTGGTTCCCATTTTCGTGACCTCGCTGCCGGTCGGTGCACCTCTGCTCGGGCGCCCAGCAGTCCCGACGAGTCGCCCTCATCCATTGCAGCCTCTCGCGAAGGTCTCGTTCAGCCGCTGCTGTCCTTTCTTTCTGGCAAGACGCGTGTAGCCGTCGAGCCCGTGGTCCCATTGAGCCCCGTTCGTTCCTCTCGTCCCGTTTTTCAAACGTTTCCCGAGAACGGTACCTAGGCTCGAACCCCGTCTCGTTTTGATTTCGTGAATTGTGATATTGTGTTATATTATGTGTTGAACGTGTGAATTACAAGTTGTTTTGTGCCTTGGATATGTTATTGTGCCGTATTATGAGTTTACATGCGGTTTGGATATCAAAGTGATTGTCGTCACTTTGATTTATTATCGAACTGAGTTTCGAGTGGTATTTTTCGTAGAAATCCTGAAGTTATAGGTACTTGGAGTTGTCCTTGATTTATTGGTTTTGGTGTGAGGTCGTTTCCATGTGTATATCATGAGTTATGAATTTTCTAAACCGAGCATGCTGCTGAATCGTAATTAATTCATGATAAATCGTGTGATTGTCCGAATGTGGTGAAATTTTATACGAGATTTCCTGTGATGATTTTGTAAGTCGTGTAAAATTTTCAAGTGGAAACTCCATCTGTAGCTATTTTACTTAATTAAATCGGTTTCAGGTCAGAATCTTTTAATATGCATTAAAAATCTTACACTTGGAGTTTTGAGCTGAAACTTTGATAAGTGTGTTATTTTCTGTTACTCTGTGTTGTGTCAAAACTTTAGATTAAAATTCGAAGTGTAGCTATATGAATTACTAACTTCCGATTTTAGCGTTGTATTTATTTAAATTATTTAAAAATGCTCTCGGATGAATTTAGGGCTGAAACTTAGTATGTTTTTGTAAGTCTTGTGATGTGGTAAAGTTTTAGGTTGATTGGTTGAGTCTAACTCCGGATTTTGAATTTTATTTATTTTGGAGTCTTAATGCTCGGTTATCCGTTGTCTAGGTTTGGGTTGGATTTTATTGATGTTGGCATGATTTATGTGTATTACCTGAGGTATATGAGTTGTGTTCAGGTCTAGTAGTCACTCCATTGTAGTTAACTCGGTCAAGGAATCCACGACTCACTTAGTCGATATGATTTCGACTAAGTATATGTGCTTTGTGTGTTGTCTTGTATTGGATAGTCAGTTGATAGGCTATTATAATTGTTGTAGGTTCATCGAGCTGAACTTATGCCATTATTCCTTCAACCCTGTGTTTGGCTATATCTCAGTGTCCAGGTGGGTTTACTTATAAAATTTTCTATGTCATACGTGTTATTAAATGTTTAGTTGGTATAACCAATGTATGAATGTGAACCATGTGGCCTACCGATGTGAGCTGTTACGGTCGTCGGTACGGTTGTCCCCGTCGAGTTACGGTACGGTTGCCCTTGCGAAGCAAGTCTCCTTAAGACCTAATGAAAGGCCGTGTCTGTTACAGTGGCACGCACTCCCGTTTTTGGTATCAGAGCCAGTCCGTTACAGTGGCACGCCCTTGCGAGTTACGGTACTGATTTTTGGAAATCCATGGATTTTCGTTAAATCAAAAGTGGGGTGTTACAGTTTGGTACTGATTTTTGGAAATCCATCGATGTGAGCAGTCTACAGAAACGCAGACTAGCTCTGATACCAAAAACGGGAGTGCGTACCACTGTAACGGACACGGCCTATCATTAGGTCTTAAGGAGACTTGCCTCGCAAGAGCAACCGTACCATAACTCGACGGGTACAACTGTATCGACGGCCGTAACAGCTCACATCGATAGGCTACATATTCTACGCTCATACATAGATCATATCGACTCAACAAAGGAAACACATATGGCATAGCAAATTTCATAAATAAAACCCACCTGGATTACGAAGCAATAGACAGCACACAAAGCTGGTAGAATGAGAGCACGGCTCGTCAAACACCTACATTAAGTCAAGATACTACAATCAACACTTATCTTGACCTTTAAAGAAAAGCACAAATCATACTTAGTCAAACTTGATTCAACTAAGTCGTTCGTGAAGTTCTGTGGACATTGGAACACTTGGACTCGACTCAAAATCAATTAAGGGAAAATACACCATTCTAGATGGTCAGGCAACTAAATGAGTTAGGTTCTGAAACTTTAACATAAAATCCACCTCACAAGACTTAGCAAAACCACCAAATCTCATCCCTTAACTCAAAACACACAATTTAAAAAATAAAAATAAAAAAATTGCAACACGATATCAGCAAAAACGAGCACAATTTCAAAGCCTGACCTAATGAACGGATTAATACTTCAAATTTTTACCAGAGTAACTACAGTAGGTAAGGACCAACATATAAAAATTTTAGCTTTAAACAATAACACACTAATTATTAAAATTCTGACAATATTCAGCAGAAAACTCATTTTTAATTTTAAACCTATCATAAAGAACAAAATTAATTTTGAAAATTTTATGCTAAGTACTACAACATTAAAATAGCATTCTCACAAATTTTCAGCAATTTACAGCAACTGGTCGATTTATCATAATTAAAACGGGTTTCAGCAGAAATACGCAAATAATAATTTACCCTAGTTAACCATGTCCAAATATTATGAAACTTACACACAACATACAAATAAGACAAAGGGACAACATAATAAAAACTCAGCAAATTTGGATCTCAACTCAATTTAATATGTAATTTATACGATTCTGCCTAGAAATCAAAATAATTAATTAAAATAGCTACAGATGGAATTAATTCATGAAATTTTTACACGACATGTAATATCAATACAGGACAGCACATATAAAATTTCATGGCACTCGGAACAGTATACAATTTATCATGAATTTAATACGATTCAGCAGCTATTACGGTTCATATAATTCATGGGATAATTGCACCAAACCCCCCTGTGTTTTCATAAATGTGCGCGTTTTACCTCTATGTTTTCAAAACTACACCATACCCCCTTAGGTTTTAATGTCGACGGATCACGCTCCCCATACACCAAACACCGTTAATAATTTTGTAAACTCCCCGTTATGCCCTCGTATTAGAACGTCGCTCAACTTGGTGGTCTCACACCACTCTCTCACAACGAAAATCACGAAAATCACGAAAATCCACCAATTGAACATTCGAACAACTCTGCTAAATCATTTCAATCTCAGGTCGACGAGGAACTTCTTTGAATCTGAGGTCGATGGCGACTTCTGAATAGCTTTCAATATGGTCGAAGAAGAATTAATGCATCATTTTTAGTCCACGGCAAATTAGGGTCCCCGCAGAGCGATTTCGTCTAAGGTATTTTGACATGTACTTTCTTATTTATTGTCGTTTACTATGTTGTTTATTTATGGTTGAAAGCTTGTTTGTTGAATGCCTATATGAGATTAGGATATTAGGGTTGTTTGTTGAACCCTAATTTGTAGTCTATGTATGTCAGAAATTAGGGTTGGCTTCCACGACAAATTAGGGTTCTTTATGTCCTTATGTGAAATGCAAATGTGCTAGCAAATATAGTTTGCTTTGTTAGTATTATCTTGTTGTGCCAGCAAATGTTCGCTTCCCCTTCTTCTGAAATCAAAGCTTGTTTATGTATGTTTGAACCTTCACACAAAGCTTGTTTGTTGAATGTGGTCACTTTTGTTATATTATCAACTGCATTAACCAATTAAATTGATCATGTTCATATTGTTTGTATGTAGGATGGCTGCATGCTTTGATGTTAGAGTTGGGGGAGAGATAAAATGGGCGCCTTTTGTTCAATATTTTGGGGGGCAGAGGGTTGCAGTTCAATGGGATGATGTGGACAAGTTGTCCATCTTTGAAATTATGGATATCTACAATAAAGCTGGTGGAAAATCTTCAGTTGTGGATATATATTCACATAAGCCTGGGAAGACCCTACAGACAGGAAAGCTAATGAAGATTGACTCTGATAAAGATGTCCTTAAGTTGGTGAAGATGTACAATGGGGTTTATGTGATTCCACTATACTTTGAGGACTTACAAGGACCTGTACAAGGGATAGACAATGATTGGAACCTCATGAGTTCACAAGAAGAGATACCTCTTCTTGAGTATCCATATACTCAAGAGAGCTTTATAAATGAGGCTGTTGAGGAAACTACAGAAGCCATACCAGATCCAAGCTATATGGGTGAACCTGGAGGGCAGAAAGATGATTCTACCTTTTGAAGATGGAGCACAACATGAGATTGAAGCACAACAGGGTGGATCACATGGTGGCCTACAACAGGAGATGCCTCATGAGTTTGATGCACAACACAGTGGATCACATGGTGGACAACAACAAGACATGCCTCATGAGTTTGATGCACAACACAGTGGATCACATGGTGGCAAACAACAGGAGATGCCTCAGGAGACTACACCACAGGGACAATCTGGATCACATGATGAGGATGAAGGACACCACAGTGAGGATTTAGATGATTCAGAGGATGAAATGTATGTACCTGGCCAAAGTAGTGATGACATGTCATCTGAATTGTCTGAATGGGAGTTAGAAGATTTAGAAGGCCCTGAAGATGATGATATATTCCAGCAGAGGGATCCTGGTCATGCTAAGAAGGTTCACAAGATGGCTAAAGAATGGATGAAACAGAGAAGAAAGAAGAAAAAAATAGCAAGAGAAGAAGCTGAAAAGAAGAAAAAGTCTAATGAATCAGATTGGTACAGTGATATTGAGGATGATGATGAGCAGTTCTTTCAAATGGATGATGAATGGAATGATGGCATGAATATGGCAAGGTTTGAGCTAAAGGTTGGTCTGAAATTTCCAAACAGAGTCAAATTCAAGGAGGTTCTTAAAGACTGGTCTGTCAGAAAAGGTTATGATTTGCAGTATCCCAAGAATGAAGCTAAGCTCATCACAGCAAAGTGCAAAAGTGGGTGTGACTGGTCTTTGAGGGCCTCAGTCATATCTGACATGTCAACATTTCAGATCAAGAGCCTGAAAGGCACACACTCTTGTGCTTACAGAACAGAAAACAAACAGGCAGATTACAAGTACCTAGGGAGAAGGATGCTTGAAACTTTGAGAGACAATCATGCTGAGCCACTCCACAGTCTGAGAAACAAAATTAAGAGAGATTGTGGG